AGGAAATAATTAGCAGGGTGACGAGACAGACTGACAAATGGAAGAAAATCTGTGCTAACTATTCATCTGTCTTGGGATTAACAGCCAAAATATGTAAATAGGTAAAAAACTAAACAAAAGAGCAAATCATATAATCAATAATAAGCAAATGAACTGAACAATTTTCAAATGAAATACAAATAGCCAATGAATACATGAAAAGATGTTCAATCTATTTAGCCATCAGGGAAATGCAATTCAAAACTATATTGAGATTCCATCTTATCCCCAGTCAAATGGCAGTCATCAAGAAAACAAACAAACAAACAAAAATAAATTCTAGCAAAGATGGAAGGATGGATATACTCTTATACTCTGTTGGTAGAATTACAAAGTAGTGTAGCCACTAAGGAAATTATTATGATTGTTCCTCAATAAATTAAAAGTAGATCTTCCAGGCTGGTGAAGCACTTGCTTAATATGTCTGGGTGCCTGGCTTCAATCCCCAGCACCATAGAAAATCTAGTTAAAACAAGAACTTTATTATTTCTGGGTTTGTGCCAGAGATATGTATATGCTCATTTTTATCATAACACTATTTACAATAATCAAGATATGGAAATAGCTTAAGTGCCAAATAACATATGAATGGATAAACAAAAGGAATCATATATGTTTCCCCGGAAAACAGATGTAACTGGTTGTGTTAAGTGGTATATGAAAGACTCGGAAACACAAACATTACAATGCTTTTTTCTTATATGCATAATCTAAAAAAAAGGTAATGAAAGTATAAGGATTATTAGGGATCAGGAAGGGATTGGTGGTATTAGAGGTGAGCTAAGTGAAGATCATGGAGGTGAATATGATTAAAATATGTGCAAGTATGAACATGTCATAATGGCATATATTTTTTGTAGAATTAATATGTAGTAAGAAGAAGATGGAGCAAATTAAGGTTGTCTGTCAGGGGAATCTCTCTCTAACAATTTCATGTGCCTATTTTTTTTACTGTAATTTGAAGTCAAAGTAGCCCCAAAGGACAATTTATATTGTGAGTTTGGGACTAGATTTATTTGGCAGCAATGTTTGACCTGAATTCAGTTAAATTTTCATATTGCTCCTCTGGAGGGGATCATAGCATATTTGGTATATCTGCTATATACATTTTTCAAGTCCCAAGTGTTCAGCATTTGAGTCTCCCTTGCCCACAGGGGTTTCAGATATCAGGCTACAGCCCATACAGGTCCTGTCTTAGTATACTCAGCCCCTGTCTCTCTCTTTCCTTCCTCAGTTCTCCATGAGATGGGGGGGGGGATCCTCTCTTTATTTTGAGCTGAGACTCTGAAAGTTTAGTGAAATTTGCTTCTGACCCTGGCTTACTCATTGTCAACAACTGCTTTGGATTAGAACTTTAGCTCTGTGTATATCCAGTGTCCTTGCTTGACTTGTCACACTGAACTGATGCCCTGAAGACATATGTCATTTCCCTTGTAACGTAGGTGGAAGGGGTGGTCTATATAAATAGAATCATTAATTCCACTGGTAAAGTGAAATCTCTCACGTTGAGAAACACAGAAGAATGAGCCTGATAGACAGCTAGAGTGGGCATTATTGCTTAACTCTGTTTCTCATCTTAAATTAAAAGAAAACACTCCTTTCGAAAATAGCTCCGGATTCACACACATATCCAGTATTCCCACAGTAACCATGATCATAGAGGGGAAGGGTGACCATGCTAATGATTACCATGTCATCAGGTGACCATTGCTTGTACAGACAGCCTGGCTGCTGCTAAGGTGAGAATCATGCACTTCCCACCTTTGGGGTTTCCATCTGTTCTCACACAAGGATACCAAATTTTACTTCAAACACTGACCTCTTTCTTGTTTCCCCGGGAAGAGTGACTAAGCTGTTTCAATACCTTATAGTTGTAGGAAAGAGGTGTTAAAAAGGGGAGCTGTTGATGCATTTTTTTTTTTTACTGGAAGAATGCTACGTGAACAGAGCACTGGGGAAAGCTGTAGCAGGAGCATAAGAGTACTCAGGAATTTGGAATGGAGTGCTTACAAGGTGAACATGACCATTTGACATTTTTGTTGAGCCTATAATGAGAAAACTCCACGAGGTTCACAAGGCCCATAATTCCTGGCAACATCACGGTAGATACAGGTTTGGAGAAGAGATGCTCATATTCTGTCTTAATTTAGAGACTGTCTTCAACCAGTGGAGGACAGGTTTAAGGTCCCGTTTCCAAATGGAAAGCCCCTTTTGCTTGGCTTTATTCAAAGAGTGTTAGATGTTTTATCTCATTTCATCCTCACTCAACTATTTCCCCATTTTGTGGATGGGGAAATGGGTAAGAAGGGAAGATAGGAACAGAACATTCTGGAGGCAGTGCCTTATTCACAGCAAGATGAACACAGGCTCTGTAGGCAGATGCTTGGCTATCTGATATGCTGTGTGACTGTGGGCCACTCTGGTGACTTTTCTGTCCTTTTCTTCTCAACATTGACTGGAATGATAAAACCCCCTATCTCTGAGGAGTAAGAGAGGAAACAGGTGAGTGAAGAATTCCATGCCTGGCCTATGGGGTCTATACCTGGCTGGGAAGATAGTTCATAGTGGAATACTACTGTCCTTATGGGGAGTCTAGCTTCTTTCTCTCTCTCTCTCTCTCTCTCTCTCTCTCTCTCTCTCTCTCTCTCTCTGTATGGTCTCTGGAGCATTTTCTATACTTCTAATCATTTGAAGGCATGGTTGCTTGGTCTTTTTCCTAAGCACATTCTCCAATCTCAATCCCACCTTGGTGATCAGCTAGGCATAATTGTCATGACTTCAATCATTAAGCATCCCCCCTAAACCGTCTGAACTGGCTCCATGTCAACACAGTCAGACTACAAACACATCCCATTGCAGATAAGAACAAACAAAGTGGCTCACAGGGTTAGATGGTGGCACATGTCCATGAGTGCTAGTGAGAGAGTTCCACTGCTGATGCTGGTGCTCCAGCCAGAAAGCCGCAGTAGTCCACGCACAGTGATGGCAACAGCCCTATAATGACATCAAACCACAGTGCTCCTGAGCCAAAGACAAGGGCTCAAGTCCCCAGGTGGTTGTCCTGTCCTGCTTGCTAGGTCTGTCTTCATGCCACTCACTCTAGCCACCAGCCACCCCTTCGGGAGTTTTCTCTGCTCCATGCACCCATTAGACAGTCAATTACATGGTATCAAGCACTGTGTTTGGTTGGGATCTATGAGATTTGGTTGAAGAGTCTCTTTCTAGCAAGCTGTCATGTATACCCTGGAAGATATGGTCACTCCCTGGCATGTGCTTCTCTCCCCAAGCATTCTGTAGATATTTAGATATTGTCTCTTTGATGTCTCTCCAGAAAAGAGAGGCCCAGCAGAAAGTAGAAACACTGGGGAGAGTCAATGTTTCCTGAAGAGATGGAACTTGAGCTTGAAGAAGCTGCAGAAGTTAGACAGAAGAGAAATGGAAGAGAAAGCCAGGCAAAGGAACCAGCAGAGACAAAGGCCAAGAACTTTGAGCACTTTAAGGTTACAGAGTAAGTGCATGGCAGAGAGAGCCCCAGCGGCTCTGTGTCTGAAGAAGTATGTGGAGTCATGTTATAGCCCTCTGGGGACTTCTGAACAAGTAGGAAACACCATCAGGATACCATTCTAGCAAGGCACCTCTTAGATCAAATGATGTATTGGGGGTGCTAATTAATGGTCAACCATATCAGCTCATATGAGGAACCAATGAATGAAAGATGCATCATGGTTGACAGTACTCTATAGGAAGACGTTGAGCCCTGCAACATCTTCATGTAATTCCCTGAGACTGACATCTGATGATGATACCATAGACTGTATCTTAAAGACCTGATTTCTAGCTTCCTGACATTCCTACCCATCCCTATCTCCATCCTTGCATCTACTTGGCCTGTCTCTCACATCCACTTGGGTGAAGCCAGCTGCCATGTTGTGTGATGCTTCCTGAAGAAGACTGGCTAATAAACAGTTCCTGAGGTCCTTGTGAAGAGCTGCTTCCTATCAACAATGCCATGTGTGAGTGTAGAAGCTCCTTCCCCATGGAAATTGGAGATGACAGTGACTTTCTGATAGATTCTGGGCCAGAAGAACCAGCTGAGCCATGGTTCCTGACCTGTATAACCTGTGAGCTATGCATGTGGTTTGGAGTTGACACATAGAGTAGCTTTTTACAAAGTGATAGATAATTAATACAGGCAAGGATCAGGGAAAAGAAAAGTCGGAACAATGATAGACACCATCAAAGTAATCAATTGCATTTAATGATTCAAAAGACTGTAGGTAAAGAGAAAAAAGTAATCTCAAGAAGAGAGACTTTGGAGCAAGATTTTCTAGCTTTAAGCTCCTGCTCTGGCCCTTGCTAACTGTGTGACTCTGGGCAAGTCATTGCAACTTTCTGAGACTGTTTCTTCCTTTGTAGAATGGAGATGACAACAGTCACTACTTTAGAGGTGTCTGTCTCTTCTTTTTAGGAGAGGCCTCAGTATCCCGCACAATGATTAAGCACACATTAACATTTCTCAGCAGAAGGTTGCTGGGGTATTTCTAGGAGGCTGTGTTCAGTTTAAGGTTAGCACAGACAAGCCCCAAATGCTTCAGTGTGATTTCCTTACATCCTTCTAAGCATGTGTGCATCCAGGTATGTGGCTCAGTGCAAGGGAAACAGCCCATCTATAGATGTCTGACTTATCCCATCTGAATCCTTCCCATGGGCACAGATTAGGGGTACAGCTTTCCTCCCAGGAGAGTTAAGTGAGCTGAGCAAGCCCTGGAGCCATAATTTTGGCCTCATGAACACTGTATTTAACTATACACAATTATCTGACTTACACAGGCTTTTCCAGGGTCAAGTTTGGCCTCAGTGAGGATAATAGCCTTGATTTGCCTGCCAAAGCCAAGTTTGTATAACATTTCACATAGTTCTTATTTCCCAAATGAGCACCACCAAATAGGTGATGGCCTTACCTGTCCAGGCAAAGTGGGCATGGAATCAGAAGCCACCATGCGCTGAAAGCGCTGGGGTTGCTGCATTATCTGCTGTAGGAGGAATGAAGACTGGTCAGGCTGCTGCTGCTGTTGTTGCTGCTGCTGCTGCTGCTGCTGCTGCTGCTGTTGGAGCTGCAAAGTGGCAGTGGCAGTAGAGGAGGCAGTGGCAGAAGGAGCATGTGCTGGTGTTGCCTGAGGCAGGTAGTGGAGCAGGGATGGCTGCCTGGAAGGGGCAGGCATGGAGGCCATCTTCTGTGAGCTTGGCTCAGAAACAAAATGCGACAAGGGCTTGGTGTTGCTGAAGGTAAAGGGCTCAGGTGCTTCTGGACTAGAACTTGCCAGGCCCTGCTGCATGATCATGCTCAAGGTTTTGGGTTGCTGGCTGCTGGTCATAGGCTTAAAGATGGAGTTTGCTTGCTGCTGCTGCTGTTGCTGCTGCTGCTGCTGCTGTTGTTGTTGTTGCTGCTGCTGCTGCTGCTGCTGGCTTAGCAGATTGCTGGTGGGGGTGAGGCTTCTGATCAGAGAGTATTGTGGAGTGAAGGACTGCTGTGGCAAGCCGGGGCTGGAGAGATTCTCCGGGCGATAGGGTGGGGATGGCCCTGGGGTGCTGGTAGGCAGAGCAGATATTAGGTGTCCCTGAGGGCTTTTGACAGTAGAGGACACCAGATTGGCAAGAATGGAGCTCTGGGGGCTGTATTGTGGCTGCTGATTGTGTGGCAGACCTGGGTGCTTCACTGGAGCATAGGGCAAGGTGGGCCCAAGGGCAGCATTGCTGCTGGGGGCCATGCTGGAGAGTAAGGCATTGGGCGAGCTTTGCACAGAACTGCCAGACAAGCTATTGGACGACATGCAGGATGCTGTGAAGTTCTGTGGGCTGAATGGTGGTGGTGGTGGCTGTGGTGGTGGTGGATGAGGTGATGGCACTGGGAGGTAAGGTGGGGAGAGACCTGGAGGAGGCAGACTGGACCAGCTGCGGTTGGAACCATGTTTTGTAGCAGATCCCTGCTTGCTGGCTGCAAGAGCTTTCAGCTGGTGGGCATGATGCCACTGAGGCACAGATAACGGAGGCAAAGTGACAGGGAGCATGGTCTGGACCTGGTTTTTTACCTGAGCCTGTGCCGTTGAAGAACTGGGTGAGACTATCTGCTTACTGGTGGAAGGAATGGAATAGCTGATCCCTGTGGATGAGGGCAAGATTGGTAGTGATGAGCCAGTGACTTGACTGCAGCTAGACGCAAACTCCTTGCTGGATCCAAGGCTCTCCATATGTGGCATTTGAACTGGAAGCTTGGTGGGGGGGCCAAAGTGGGCCTGTGGGTGATGTAAAACCAGAGGCTCTTCTGGTTTGCTTCCCAGAATCTTCTCAAGGTCAAGATCATTTGAAGAAGGCTCCTGAATTTTGGTTAGTTCTTCCAGCAGATCTTGAAGCTCCTGGTCTACAGCTGGCATACTGTTGTTTTTCTCATAGTAAGAACCAGCGTGCCCTTTCAGTCCTGTTTCTGCAGTTGATGACACCCCAAATGGTGAGCCCATAGCGCTACTATTCACAGTATTATTGTCTAGAGGATTATTCTCAAGGAGTAATGACTGGCCAGCCACTCCAAGATCTGCAGAGCTAGGGTTCATGGTTAATGTGGGCATTTGCAGCTCTGTAGAAAGAGAAGTAGGGTGGGCACCTGGGCCCATAGAGAGAGTGACATCTTCAAGGCAAGGTCTCTTGATTTTATTAGGGTAGCCACCATCAGCCATTGCTGCAAAGTGAAAGTTGTCTCCTTCCTGTCTTCTTTTACTGGTTCCCTGTGTTTATGAGAGAGAAAGAGAGAGAGGAGAAGAAGAGAGAGGGAAGAGAGAGAATATGAATTTAATGAAAGGTTTGACATATTAAAGTTAATGCTAGGAAGCCTACAGATAAAACAGATCTCTCAGTTTAGAGTTACACTTGTCAAAAGTCATACAATTACAGTATTTTTAGAAGCATTTTTTGTTTCTTTGTTGCTGTGTCTCATTTAAACAGTTCTATTACATTTCAAATAAAGCATTATGCTGTCTGTATACTAAACAAGACTCAAAGTCACACAAAGGTTATTCTTTGTGCACTTAAAAGAGGAGTTCAGGGACTATGCTGATGTCACTAAATGAACTTGCTGCCAAAGGCAGACACACAAGAACAGACTAGAACTAGCTGAACAATTTCAATTCCTACCTATCTACAGATCACCCAATTTTTAAAAAAAGACAATCCATAAAGTAGACATTCAACTTGTAGGTTGCCTCACTGTCTTGCTTAAATGAATCAGGGTGTGTTGATAAACTAGAACACAACAGTGTCTGAAAGGGGAATGCAAAGGAGCTGCCTGATATACATATTTAGAGGAAAGTTCCCAATTTAGAGCAACCACTGTAGTTATTATTCCTTTTAGTTTACACCTATATACTCTCTCTCTCTCTCCACACACACGCACGCACGCACGCACGCGTGCGCACACACACACACACACACACACACACATTGCTTATGTACATACTAAAATCAATTGGATGAAATAATACTCAATCTTTTAGAGTAGTCACCTCTGAGGAATGAATAGCAAACCCCTTTCTATTCTCTGAATTTCTGTATTGTTTGTTTTTAATGAGAAAAACTTGCAATAAAAGAAAAGCCCGAGTATGAAGTTATTGAAATAAGGAATTCCTCTGTGCAGATGCATCCTTGGGTTGGGGAGATATCAAACAACAGGAAGAGGCCCCACTGTGGGATCGCCACCTTGGGAGAGCTGCCCATTATATATAAAAGCAGTCTTCAGGAGCAAAGAAACTCTTTGTTTCCCTGTTTCAGATTCTTATCCCTGGTTCAGTCATGTTAATAACCATGGATTGTCTGTCAGGTAAAGTGAGAGGAGGTCTGGAGAAAAAGGCATGTGAAAATAAGGATGGGGTGCTGATTGTGTCAGCCCGACATCTGCTAGCATGCTAAGGTCATGGCTTTTATGGCCAAGTGAACATCAAAGTAACCCCCTCCCCCTAGAGTTGTGTGCCTCAGGCCTTCCTGTACATGAAATTCACTTAGAACTAACCAAATCACCAGATCCTCCCATAAGAAATCAACTATCTTAGTTTAATCCAGGGTAGGGACTAGGAGTGGACAGCGGCAGCATGACATATGTCCCTGGTCATAAGGTAGATACAGGGAAGTCTTAGCCTTGCCATGTAGACTTCCTGAGCCAATTTTATCACATGAGGAATGATGAAGGAGTGTTCTTAGGTCCTGCTATTACTCTCTTGATTGGGATGGGCAGATTATATGATATGTATAGGGCCTCAAAGGCTTGTGACATTCCTAACACAGATCTGGAGGAGCCCTGGAAATTCACTATCCTCCAGTAACAATGGCTACCCCTCAGGAGCCGGAAGGGTTTGTCTTGTATTGTCTATCCAGTGGGTCATGGCCAGATGAAGGGTGAAAACCAATGATCACCTGGCTGCCTCTCAGTTTATTATCTTCATCCATCCAGACAGTAGAACGCTGCATCATCTTAAGAGAATTTGCACATATCATTGACTTTTCTGAGATGCTCATGATTCAAATAAGGACGTTAGACTTTTGCCAAATTCATTTGAGGATGGAACACTACAGGTTGGGCAGAAATTGTTGGGTAGAATAAGAGGCATAACCAGTCTTACATGACCAGGTTCCTATCAAGGAGCCTTATGGTGATATATTATTTATGATTTATTAAAGCTTGCCCGAGGATTTAGAAAGCAAAGTGGCCCTCAAGCTATAGAGATCAGGCAGTGGTGGTACACACCTTTAATCCTAGGACTCAGGATTAATAGGTAGATGGATCTCTGTTACTTTAAGGCCACCATGGCCTATACAGGAGTGAAAAGTAACAGCTCATGCCTTTGATCCCAGCACCTGGGATCACACACCTTTAATCCCAGCATTAAGTAGTTATATAAGACAGGAACAAGGCCTTGGAGCTGGCATTCATTCTCCAGCCACACCGAGGAGAGCCTAACTGTCTGGGATTACATACAGTCTGAGGAGTCAGGGTCATCTTTCAGTAGAGGTGGGAGCCACTGCTTTGCTTTTCTGATCTTCAGCTTGAAGCTTGTTACAGAGCCTGGTTGAGGTTCAGAAACCATAGTTTTCTCAAGCTGTTCAGAAAGCAGTTCACAGAATGTTTGGCCCATAGCCATTAAAGTAAATAAACAGTGAAGAGCAGCTTAGTGAACCAATGGACAGATGAACCCAAATGACTTCATTTCCTCAAATTCCAAACTGATATTTTGTCCCTTCAATATTCTGTCAAAAAATTCCAAAGACATATGATAGGAAATGTCTGAAATGAATCAACAGGTGTTCATATACTGTACACCTTCATATCCATCCTCTTGCAGGGAACCTAGATTAGCAACAGATGGGTTCTACATTCTTTTTCAGGTGGCATTAAGTACACAGTAGTTTTAGTGAAATCTATACACAAGCAGACAAATAGATGGTGGGATGAGGTGGAGGGGAGGGAAAATGAAACTATAAGTCTAGAATTCTGGCCAAGTGGGCTTCTGAAAACTCACTGGCAGGACACCTAGAGGTTTTGTTTAGTTGTTAGTCTGCCATGAAGCTATTGGGAATAAGGATACTAGGGATTAGGAAGGTAGGCAATACTCCTAGACTCCAACAGTAGCATAAGTGAGAATCTGTGTGCACCCATCAAGCACATTCATGCAAGTGATTCCCACTTACTTTTGTCTGGATACTCATTAACAAAACAGAGCACAGGATACCTCCTTGGGGTGTCAAGGGACATCTCATGCTGCTGGTGCTCATCACAGTAAACACTGAGGGGTAGCTAATGAGGAGGCAGTCTCTCCTTGACTGCCCTCAGGTATGTCTCCTGAGTACTCCCCAACTAGGCTGCTGTTTCGGTAGAGAGGCAGTCATAGGCTCTTCTGAGATTTTTCTTTTTAATAAGAAGCTACAGCTCTGTGTTTGAGACTCAGCATTAAGAGCTTTCAACATTTAGCAAAAGGGCATCAAGGACAAAGAAAACCAGCTGTCTTTCCTGGGGAGGGTTCTGCTTCAGTTTCATAGCTTCTGCTGCCACTGAAAATTGGGTAAGGTGACATATGCCAACCCATTATTTTGTGTATGACTAGATGCACATGTGTGCATATCAGGACTGGGCTTATAGGATGGGAGATATTAGAGCAAATATCTGAATAACTACAGATGCACAGATAAATATCCATGTATATACTATCAATTTCTCTATTAAACCTGTATCATTTGCATGTTGGTTTTGAGCAAAATGTCCCCATAAACTGTAGTTTCCGTAGGGCAACCAAGATTGTCATCTTTCCCAGAATTGCAAGACAAGTGCCTCTAGAGAATTGTGGGTGATTAGGATAGGCAAGAGCCTCTGGGTGCTAATTGCTCTAGATTGTCTAGAGCATGAAACTTGATCTAAATATAGGGATTTGTTAATGCCTTTGCCTTGCTCTGCATCAGCAGAGACTGCATGCTTAGTGCTAGACACAAACATAGGCTCCTAATTCCAACCTCTAGGACAAGACATTTCCTTTTTTGGGGGCGATTAGGGCCAGATTATTAGGCAGGTGGTCTCAGAGTAGCAGTGGATGGTCTTCATACACAGTCCATGCCAATGTACCAGGAAGATGCTGGTATACCATGATTCCATGTGTGAGTCTGAAAGAGCCCTCTCTAGCTACTGTGGGGCCCTCCACTCTACACAGTGTTTCATTTCAGGACTCAGTTGAATGATATGAATTGTGTAGAACTTTTTGACTATTCAACCTTTTACTACTGGGAAAATGTGACTAAGGTGCAGCCCAGCTGCATAGCCAAGGAACCAAGAAAATATTCCTTTTGCTTCAGGACATCAAAGAGGCAACAAAACATGGAAGACATCAAAATGTGAGGTAAAAAGGGCTCTAACATGTACCTGGGTAGTACTTAAAAGTGACAGAAGGCCCTTTATCTGTACAGTGACAGGGCTAGTAGAAGACACCCTTAGGCAGTAATTCTTAGACATCTTGCAAGCCAGTAGAGTTCACACAAACCATAGGCTGGTAAGTTGTCAAATTTCATCATTGTGCTTAAATGTCTCTACGCTGCCCTGGGCTATGACAGACTCTATCTCCAGCTTTCCACACCTCCCCCGGGACATCACTCATAAACCAGCCAAGCAGACTGGCCCTACCTTTATACCACAAAGCTCTTCTGAGTCTTCCTATTGGGCTGATGAGGGCATGTAGGATGGGTGCTATTAGATCTCTCCTTTTCCCTTTCTCCTAGTCTACTCAGGTCTTCTTCTCATGAATATCACCTTATGGGCTTGCTCTCCTGATGCAATGTTGAACCACCAGGTATGATGGACACTTTATTTGTACTGGTAATATGATTAGAAGAGAGATATGCGGAGAATCCCCTGAACTGAGACTTGGTGGTCTGAGTAGTGTTTTAGGGAGATTCCTAGTACATTTCAGAGACTTGACACCTGTCAGAACTAGACTGAAGAAGCAGAGATCCATTATCTATGTGAAAGCATTTATAGAAATATTAAGTACCAGGGTGCTTTTAGTTAGGAGAGCTGTGGAGAAACCATGGACCATGTTGGGTAGCTCTAAGACTCTGGTTGTGACTAGATGAACATGGAAGCACTAACACATCTCAAGCCATGATCTGGCAGTCCCCTGTGTACTAGCGCCCTAGTGGCTATTGAATTATATTGTATGTGTATTAGAATCCATTGAGTTCTATTTCCCTAGGCCTC